AGGTTTTAATTTATTGTGGTTCTAGGCGAAAAACCGAGTTACTTATAGGCATAAAGTCAGACTTTTCATTCACACAAATATCCCTAACCCTATATCACTTTAACTGAACATAAAAAATTTAGAAAAATAAAGTAAAACATTACTCTGTTCAGTTGCTGTTGCTGTTGATTTCGCATGGTTGGTGGTGGTAACTGTCGATGTTTTTTCTCATACTGCTCCTTACAACTAAAAATTAAATATATTTAAAAAGTCGAATTTTAATAATTGAAAAAGCAAAAGAAATGTGTTCATTACAATGGTGTATGTCTTTGAGCAGCATGCTGATTAAAATTTCGATTACAATAAGGACATTCAACATAATCTTTAAGAATAAGCAAAAATATTTCATTTAAAGCAAGATGAAGGGGCAGCGACAGTGCTATAAAGCATATCACCTATATAGTCAGCATAGACGAACCTGACGGGATTTCAGTCGGTCTAAATTTTGGTAGTGGACCACCACTCTTAATTGCTTGTGTTACTGATCGCGCTTCACGAATGGATTTGATCAACGACTGATGACGCTCACGCCAATTTGGTTTTTTGTATTTTGACTACAAAATTTAAGATGAATGATATAATAACTAAATACTATAAACTATAAAGCGTTCTTTTCGAAACTAAACAGATGTATTAGATCGACTGCTAACATAATACATACCTTTTCATCTTGTGGTCTAATTTGACCTGTGTATATCTAAAAACAAAGTATAGCAACAGAATTGCTAGAAGATGCCATAGTTACAATTGGTATTTACTTGCAATGTCTTTTTTGTTGCTGCATAAGGTATATCAGAATCTGTCGCTCGTTGTTTTCCAGCATCGAATGTTTTCCGTTTGTTTGTCAGAATTTTACGACAAATTGCTTGATGTTTTTTCTATAATAAATAAAATAAATGATATAACATTGATTTTCTTTTGTATAATGTATTCATCAACGTAAATACCAAAGAATCGCCATTGAATTTTCTCTGACAATTTGGACAAGGATACAATCGTATTTGATGTGTTGGATATTCTTCAATAATAAACAAAAAGAATGAGTTAGAGCTACGGTTGGTTCTCATACAATCACCGCCAGATACCTACCACTTTCATCATCCATAATGTCACCGTTGAAAACGACCTCTAAAGACTGAAAATAATAGAAAAATGATTTTTTCCTAAATAGAAGCAGATATTTTTGGATTATAAAATGTATAATATTATGAGGAAATTTACAATATTTAACAATCAAAAGTGTAGACTTTTGTAACTATAGTCTAATTAATAAAGCTAATTGTTTTTTCCTGAACATCAGATAGAGGCCACTAATCATCAATGATTTCTTACTCGCTTCAATGTTGTCTCTTACAACGAAATGACAGATTTCTTAAATACAGATTTTTATACTAGCTAGAGGTACATTATTCGTTTTGATAAGAAGTTAAACCTTATTTTTTGTACTTTCTCGTCAATATTTCTTTTTTTTCTACATGTTCTACACTGTACAAGTCAGGTTTGCATTTGAAGAGTTGTTTGCATTTGAAAAAAAGTAATATTGTATTGATTGCATGTGTCTGATTTAGAGTATTTGTGTTTAACGCAGTTTTAAAATGTATATAACAACGATATCTTTTTATAATTTTTATCTCTTTTTATAAATGAGATCGGAACCGAATCGAACGGAAAAAGATTTTCATCCTTTATTGTATTTGTATCGTTGTTTTCAACATGGTATTCAAACATTCGTATAAAAAATACAGTCAAGCTCTCTCTGATTAATATAAGACCAATGGATAAGTTATGTTGTCTCCACTATCTGTATTCTCAGAAACACAGGTTTATGTTGTATTTATATTATACGATTAGGTTACTGCTGATCAAAAATAAATCTTTGAAAAAGATTTACGGTTCCGGATTGGCTTTGGTAAAACAGAAACCGATCTCATCTGTGACACATATTGAGATTTTACATGGCAGGAAAATTAGATGATAGATAAATATATAAAATAGATTGAGAAAATATACGGACCACTGACATCCACCAGCAAATGTTAGAAAAGCTGAACTAGTTGTCTACTATCGGGCAGTTCGAAATTCACAAATAAAAATCTGTTTTAAATGGAAAAACAAACAAAAACAGCATTCATCTCTATATGAGCCAAATTTTTTGGACAGTGCATGTGTATATAAATCAATCATAAATGATACTCATATCATTATCCTGAAATGGTCTTTAACCTTGATTCGTCATGTGAAAGATCCATTTATTGTTTTGAGAATGTTTCTTCAGGTGAATGTATTACGTTCTTTCACAAATTAACTGTTTTGGTGTGATAAGATTTTTATTTTAGACTAGTTACGAATCAGAACTTTATGGCAACAAAACTGTTCGAACTTTTTGTGGTTGATCTTTATCTTTTCTCTTATCTACCCAGGTTAAAGAATCCTATAATAGGATCATATGGGATCTTGTAAGATCCTATCGGATCCTAAAATAAGATCTTGTCTGATCTTATATGATCCTATGAAATCATATGGGCTCTTATAGGAAACGTCTGCCATTTTTTAAAATAAAAATTAAATTTGCCAAAATTTAGGCCTAAAAGAGTTTTTCATTTTCTACAATAGAATTGTAATTATATTATCGTTACTCCAAAACACGTCGGTGATTGTGTTCTCGTATAGAAAAGAAAAGAAAATATATACAGAATGAAAAAATAGGAATATACAAAATCTTACTGTAGGATTTTGTAAGAAATGCATAAGATTCCTATTTATAGGAATCCTATAGGGTTTTTGCTACCGTCCGATATCAAGAATCCTACGCAATTCCTCTTGCAGCATTTTATAGGATCCTACAATAGGAATCCCACGAAATCCTATTATCAGTAGGATCTTGTAGGAATCTAATAGGATTGCTTGACCTGGGTAGTGATTCACAACGAGTTTTGCCACTAACCTGATACATTTTAAATACGATGGCTAATCCAGCGGATGTTATGCATGTATACTGTTTAGATCAACGGGACACGAACACAACGTAAGCGGTGAAACTAACCAACATGATGTCTGCCGTTCAACAAAACCATCGAACGATGTCCATTGACCAGACCGATACATATCCAATCAAACTGATCGCGTTATTTCCGCGTTTGATGATGGGACACTATAAAATGATTTAAAAACCAATATAAATATCAGGGCAACTTATACCCATTGACCATTTATAAGCATATAACTCCATTTCAAGCGATATACGTGTTACAAGCGCAAATGGTGATGAAATACTTGTCTCTGACCAATCTTGCACCTGAATTTCAGAAAAGCGTAATGAGTATCTTCTGTACTCACCACATTTGAAGGAATATTTCGTATGGTTCTTCAAGTCTGATCGTCGGCACGGGCATATATTAAATTGGGGTTTTGCTAATTCTTTTACTTCATTGTATGATGGCACTGCGCACAAAAACATTCAACCGTTGACAATAAAATTTCTGTTCATATTCCTTCTTGTATATATTTTCTTCATATTCTTTTTGTTGTCTGTCTACTAATTAATCTGGTGATCAAAAGTGTTACTTTTTGGTGATCATTTCGACAGAAAGAACTTAGGTGAACAAAACACATTTTCCCCTTTTTGTCAGTTGATTTCTAGTTCAGGTTCTAATTTAATATTTCATTTGATTTCAAGCGACAAAAATGCGATAAAAAACAACAATATTCATATTCTGTATGGCGAGCAGTGAAAATATACATTTTTGTCTGAATTTTACATATATGATGGAGCTCATGGTTTTGAACAACTTTACCATTTGGGATGATATCGAAATTGGCTTCTAAAAGATTGTTTTCCGTTCATCTTATATAATTTGCAACTGTTCAAGATTACCCCATGAAAAATGGCTGAGTGTAAACGATCGTATTGTGGAAAACCGACAAAAAGTAGTTTTCTACCATTAAGAAACCGAAATGGGTTTCCTACCCACAATAGTTTCAGTTCTGGAAATCCTTCAAGCAATTCTACACTTACAAAAACCCTACAAAATTTCTCTAAATAAGAAAAATGGCTGCTTGTTAGATCTATCCATCTGTGAAGTATCGTGGTTTTCTGCGTAAAAATGCGGTTAAAATATTGTGAAAAGAAAAAAGACTGCACAGAATTCCCTCAACGTACTCTACAGTAATTGTTATAAAAACACCGTAAAGGGTCGTTCGAGAACTTATGCATTAGCTGGTCTATCAACTTGTCATGCTAAATCGTATATACCAACCTTTTTTTATTAAACCCGTACTCGTCTTGGTTTCTGTCCTTATTTCAGATAAAGGATTTATCTGGACACCGACCGTTTGCACGCATGCTCAAATAATCCATCTAAAGGCTTAAAGGCTGTTCTAAAAAATACTCATGAAGCAAGTACTTCCCTAAAAAAGAATATAACTGCTAAATATCGGCATAGTTCGGGTTTTTTAAAACTATTTTCTATTGTATCTGAATTACCAATTGACAAATAACGAAATCAAAAGCAATAAATTAACAAATATTTGCCGTATAAAATGAAAATGAATTATTCTGTTATTTCTGAAACGGCTGTAAATATATTTGTTTTTTACTATAAAGCTTAACCACAGTCGACTGAATGATTATAATTCAACTAATGTTTTGATTAAGTAATAGACAGTCTTGGAATAAACTAACATTACCAAGAAGGATTTTTTGTAGAATATTTACTCAAATAGTTTATATTTTACTTGGAAAATCGTTATCAACAAGTTAAATTAAGGAGAGAGTTTTTTATCCTAGCCTAATTGCTTCTGGCATACAGCAAAGATCTATGCTGGGACCACCTTCGTTTTTAGTATTTATTAATGACTTCCCTCAGCTCAGTCAACATCATCCACTTATTTTCTGATAATTTTTTTTCGAAGCTTATATTTATATTTGTTAATTATAAAATTAACCTCTCACAAGCGGAAATTGATCGTATTTCGAGTAGCTATGGTTCCAATTTCGTATCATCGAACTCTAAAAAGTGTTGATGGATCTATTTGTCAGTTTCATCTGATTCACCATCTGCTCAATAAAAGTTTCAATATCAATTTCATTCCTTCCATATACAATGTTTCTTATAAACTATTAGGTATCTCCTTATGCTGAGATTTAGATTGAAAGACACATTTTAAATATTTCATCAGTATCCAGACGTATATTTGATGCCAGTAATGGTGCATTTCACGATGTTTCAAGTTCTATTCATTTAAATGTTTATAAAAGTTAGAGTTGTCAGGCTGTTTTCCCCAAAATAGCCTGTTTGTTCAAAGTTAGAAAACCCAAAAGATTTTATAAAATGTCTTTGTGCAAGTTGTTTTCAGTGGTATACAATGGGCAAAATACAGTGCATCCTGAAGCATTTAGGTCATCATAATGTGTTTTGAATGAGTTTTTTGCATGTTTTTGATCTTCGATGGAAACAGTCTGGATATCTTAATTCTCGATTCTCACCCGGTTTTTTTAATCCTTTTTCAAAAATAAACACTATCACCAGACTCAGCATGATTGATTGTGAATGTTTCATGTAATTTCCAGGTTACTTCAAGCCGCCAGGTAGCAATCCTGCGACTTCAAACAGATCTAGATATCATGCTCGAAGCATGAAAAACTGAGATCTCTCTTGACTTCTGCGCTTTCCCCTATCTATTAATAGATCCAGTCACTATATTTTGTCACTTTAGTTTTGAAGAACTAGACTGATAGTTTGAGGATAATCAAGCCCTGCTTTTCAATCAATGGGATTGCGTCTATCTCTTTTACTTAGCTTCTAGGCAATTCTATGCTTTTGTTTAGTATACGTACACACCAGTAATTTGATTCACGTAGTTACTGAGTTGTTTGAATCTCTCTTGAAAAATGTTCTATTATACGTAGAAAAATGAACATTTGCGCCTATTCAATGGATTCAATTTAGCCAGAAATAACTCTAAATGCAAAGTGTATTGGCACAACATCGCTCAGAAATATAAAATAATTTTGAATTAGACTGCCTTTAATCTGACGTGTTATAAGTTCCCTGAATTTTCTGCGTCATAATTAAAGCAAAATAAGTAAAATCAGGAGCTCCCGAGACTTTTGAAGCAGGGACGAACATAACTTTCGGAGTAAAATTTTAAAATGCGAGCGAGGATAACATCGCCATTCTTTGTTCCCAGCCTGAGTTGAATAAAAAGCTTTAGTATATGGTAATCAATATCAGTGATCAATTCAATCTCACAGAATACACTAAAATTTTTCTCTAAATACAGTAAAATCTTCTGCTGAAGGGTACTCGTATACGGAATTAAAAAGCCTAAAAGATAACATCTTCATATTGGATATGCTGAGTCTCGTCGTTTTATCTGAAGCAACTTGTAGAAGACAGTGACGTAGTGTTGTGTTATTTTCCGAACACTAAATCAAAGGTCTTCCAAGAAGCGTCATGAAAAGTACACTTATAACGTTACAATGGAAAGCCATGTATAATCAACAATCCTAGAAAAGAGAATTTCATTATTTAAATTATCGACTGAAGAGATGAACTATTATAAGAAATCAAATCCAAATCACATTATAAAAATTAAATCATAACTTAAACGTATTGGACACTCAATCACCAATTTCATACATCAACAACAAAAAAAAGTGTTTTTAACTGAAATAGAAAGTGATATATATACTTAAGGAGATTTTGTCGTTATATGTATTAATTCTAGCGATTTACTAAACTCCAACTCATGTCTATAGTCACTTAGAAATCATGATTATCAATCATTATTATCAGACCTTGTCACAATTACATACGTTTTCAAATGTCTTCATTAGTACATTTAAAACCAAGGCCATAATGGAGAAAGACAAAATATAATTTATGTATTTTCCTTTATCTTATGTACATTACACTAGCTATTTATAACTGCCGATAATATTGTTGTCTAAGATCAAATATTTTAATATGAAAGTTCAATTAGTAAAAGCATTATAATACTTTAGTATCTGAAACAACATATCAATTAGTTTTAACATCTACTTAAATACTTCATAACAAACTATTCTGACCATATAGACTTTATAACCTTAAAAAAAGTCAAAGGATGATGTTGATAAAAAGCTGATACATTTATTTAGTAAAGTTGAATTCACATACAGATGAAGAAGAAAATAAACTTAACAAAGATTGTGACATAATGAATACATCTCTTATTAGCGTCTAACCTATACGAATTTATGTATACAATTACATAGAAAATAAAAATGGAAAAATAAGTAAACAAACAAATATGTACATAGGTGTTCTAGGCTATAAATGCTGTGAAGATTTAACGGCAAACCGTTTTACTGTTGGTGATAAAACTATTCAATCAGAAAGACCATTTCACTCACCTTTTACTGTTCTAACTAAAAAAAATTCTTTTAGAGCATCCTTTTTACATTCGGGTATAGAAAACATAAGAGAATTTTCGTTATGCAGTGTACGTCGATTGGTCAACGATTGAAGTAGAATAAATAGTGTAAGAACTTTCCTTCCTTTTACAACATTCTAAAGGAGTATCTCAAGCTGACTATTTTCCTACAGTGATCGAGAGTTTACTCCATATGCTCTTTTTGTTTCGATTTTCTTCAGCTCTTGTATCATTTTTGACATTCTAATGGTGATAAAGGAAAAGAACATTATTTTATTCATTACTAAATTTATTTAATTCCACCTATCAATGTTTATTCTTTGATAAAAAAAACTTGACAAACTGTTTAAAACCGGATGTCCAAACAAATATTTATAGACAACAGATCGTTATTATTAGTTTATCAATCAAAACTTATTTCCTTTTTCCTCATCTATGTAGATCTGCGAACAAATAAAAAAACGTTTAAGTACAAGAGGGAAAGAGAAACAGAAGTAGATATATTTTTCACTCTGTTCAGTTGTTACGGCATGCCAG